CGTTACTAAATGAGAAAAAAAGCAGATCATGTATCATCACACCTTCCAAACATTTTTTGTTTCAGTAAACAATGGTGTCTAAGATTTTAATATTTTTTCAGTAACTTCTTATAGCAGGTAATGAAATTATGGAAGAAAATTTTTGTTAATAGTCACGTGAACTACTCATGTTTTTGTAGGATCCCTTAGTTTTTTGACGATATCTAACAGAAGGATGAAAATGGTTAACTTTCAAATATTTAAAGGATGTTTTTTTTGCCAAAAAAAGATATTTTAAGGATGTAATTTAAGTTTGGGGTATAGTTTAAGGATGTTTTTGGCCAAAAACTCTTCATAGCCCACTCTTAAATAACTTGGGCAAACTACATAAATCCCCCTAGTTTAGGTCCTAATTACTAAGATTCCCGATAGTTTTAAATATTACTTCCTCTACCATATTTCATAATTAGGATATACGAGTTGAAATATGTGAGATCCATGTATCTGCCGAATTTTAAAATTGAGATACATATTTTATTTGCTTAAATTAATTGGTTATAACTGATTTCCTTAATTAGAGAAGTAATTGAGGATTTTCATATTACATGGACAATTGATTTTGAAAATTTAAATTAATCAAATCTCTTAATATAAGGCGGGAATCAAGGAGTATATCTATGTTTTATTAATTTCATTTTATTATTCTTTGAAATAATAAATTCATTAATATTATTAATAAACACAAAAAAAAAAAACATGTATATCTTAGTCATGTAATTTGATTAATTTCATTTTATTACTCTCAAAATAATAAACCCATTAATTTGATGTATCTATTATCAATATATGATGTATCCAACAAACTAAACACTTAGATACATGATCATCATACATGTACATCCATATGTATCATAGAAGTATCTAGATTTATTTAGTGTATTTGTTATATGTTTCTAGTATTAATTTCATGTATCTATTTATATGATCTAATTTTAATTTCATGTATCTTTTATTAATTTGATGTATCAAGTATCATTTTGATACATTATATTCAAAAATATGTATCTCGGATACATAATAAGCATATACATATAATTATGTGTATCTAAATATGAAATGTATCTGAAACGCACGAATTTAGGAACAAATTAGGTGGTAGAGTATCTGTCTTATCATTAATCAAAACAAAAAGTAAAAAATTTCAAAATTCTTCCTTTTTTAGCGTTTGGATTTTTTTCTCATAGATACATATAATTTAAGTCAGATATATGAACTCTTAACTAGATACATGTACACCTAATATGTATCCAACATTGTTGCATATCTAATGGTGTATTTGTTCTGTTAATTAAAACTTGACGTTATTCTTCCATCTTGATTGGGTCGTTCCTATACTTATATCTATTTTCGGCTTGAATTTTGACGGATGAAGAGACAGTCCCTGCAATGAGAAGTTCATGAGTAAAAATAAACAAATAAAAGTTGTTTGATTTAGTATAATATTGTTAATGTGTAGCACTTTTAACAAGAATCATTCGATTTTGAGAATGATCAACCATTAAAGTGTTTGAGAAACAAAAAAATCAAAAAATATAAAACCTAACTTGTTAAACTTTTTAAAATTGAACTTAAGAACATTATGAATATTAACTCAGATACAAAACCAAGATACATGAGAATAATAAAACAATAGAAACAAACCTATTTGTAAAATACTGATTTGAACATGCATACATGTATTGAGAGAATGAAGGAATAAAGAGGGAGAAAATGAAGAAAGAAAGTGAGCTGCTGGACATGGGGGTGGGGAACAATATCGGCAGATGGGAACAGAAAAAATTTAACTTGTTAATGGACCATTAATTAAGCAGTTTAAATTTTAAGATAATTATCCAATACTATATTTAAGGAATTTGTGTATCTGATTAAATCTTTTAATATATATGATATAAATATTAAAAGTGGTAATACATAATTGTTTTAAACTAGAGGTAAATATAATATATATATGATAGTGATATATGTGTGGTTACGCAGTTTTTCCAAATAACTTACTTTATGTCCATTCGGCCCAAACAAATTATCCTATGTGCCTCCTTTTTAGCCTAGGTCCAATTCTCCTTTAGTTTGTTTGATAATAGGGAAAATTGTACATAATGGCAAACTATTAATTCAAATTAAATGGTATAATCACACTTTGATTTAATTGTGTCCTGTAGCAAACTGTTTGCTAGCGCCTCTCTCCCTCAAACTCTCGCTCGCCACTCTCCTCTCTCGCTCACTCCCTCTGTGCTCGCCTCTCTCGTTTTATACAACAGAATTGTATAAATTGTGTTTCTGTTTGTATAAAGCGAGAGAAAATTGTATATACACATGCAAATACATATATATTAGTCTTATACACTTATAATTATACAATAAAAATATTCTCCTGCCCAGTTCTCTTTTGCATTTCTTTCTTTCTCGTTTTATACAACAGAATTGTATAAATTGCGTTTCTGTTTGTATAAAGCGCGAGAAAATTGTATATACACATGCAAATACATATATATTCGTCCTATACACTTATAATTATACAATAAAAATATTCCCCTGCCCAGTTTTATGTTTGTATAATGTATAATTTATGTTTGTATAAAGCGAAAGAGAGAGCGATTTTTGATATACAAATATTTTTTTCAACGATTTATACAAACGAGAGGCTAACAATAATTTATACAAATGGCCTGCCAGCGAAATTATACAAATCTGAAGAGGAGCCAATGAATTATACAATTGCTTCTTTTTGTTATATATGTATAGCGAAATAGACAGCTTTCAATTGTATATGTATAGCGAATTATACAAATATATGTTTGCTATGGAGCGCAATTATGCAAACTTTGCTATAGCATACAAATATGATTTTTTTGTTTGCTATATGTGAAAGTTGCTCTAGCTCTTGATAATATCCCATGTTGGTATCATTTAACATTTGTGTATTTTTTTCCTGAATGTTTGTTATAATATCATTGAAGATGTTAGATCTGCCTCATTGAGGGTTGACTTGGTGAAACAGTGGTTGCTCCTCATTTAAACAATTTCAATATCATAATAATATGAATATATTGTGGTAGTATCATTTATGAACCATCGTATGATTTAGGAATACCTTTTTGATACCATTATAATAGTGTGGTAGTATCATTTTCTGCTATGTAATGTAGGGTTGTTCAAAATCGAATCGAAACCGATAATCTGAACCAAAAAAAAGTTATTGATTTATCAGTATTGGGTTATTGATTTAGCGGTTTTGATAACGCTTTTGATTTGTTTTGTTAACGGGTTATCGGTTCTTAACAGTTTGAGATTTTTTCTTAACGGGTTAACATTTTATCTGGTCCATGATTTATATATAAGGTATTTACGTTTTATTTATTTTTCTTAAAATTAAGACGTCTAAATTTAAATAGACATTTTAAAAACTACTCGATTTGGGTTGGTTGCTTGGGCCAACATCAAATAAGGGAAAAAAACTTCCATAATTTTAGCAATTAATTTCTTGGTGGCTACCTAACATCACAAATTAAACATGTGTAACAATATTTTGTGTAACAAATCAAACATGTGTAACAATAAAGTAGTGTACATAGCCTAGCAAATATGTAGGAATATAATAAAAAAAATTTTTTTTTTTTTATTTAGTTCCCTTAATTAGAATTTATTGTATTTGTATTTATAGATACTAGTTTCTGGGTACGCGCGTTGCGCATGTAGCCAAGTGTACCCGTTATTATAAATTTATAATATATGATAATCGTGCTCCACATAAGTCTTTAGACATCTTATTATAATGTTTGACTTGTAAATGCTGAGTATATTTAGGATTTATGTTGCATTAAAAAATATAAATGATGGTTGATATAGAATTTTTTTTACCAATTAGTGTTACACATATAATTGTTAGAGTAAGAGTGTTTGTTTGAAGGGAGAAGACACAATTACCCCCTATACTATGACCAAAATTCCAGAGACACACCTTAACTAAACTAAGGTCCTATTAACCCCCCTGAACTCATTTTTTTTGTAATTTTATACACCTTTTGGCATATGTGGCACACCCCGTGACTCCACGTAGCTGAGGCGCGTAGGAGATATTTGGATGCCACATAAGCCAAAAAGGTGTACAAAATTACAAAAAAGTAAGTTTAGGGTGTAATATGACCTTAGTTTAGTTAAGATGTGTCTCTAAGATTTGGATCATAGTCTAGGGAGGTACTTCTACCTTTTCCCAAAAAATTAAAATAGTTATCTATTTTTATATGGATCATTGATAATGAACTTTATACTTTTAGATCTTTTTATTATTACCCCACCCCACCTAATTCTCTAGCTCTAATTTTTTTTTCTCATTTTGTGTTAGTTTTTGAAAAATATTTTCTGCTTGCTGCAAGATCTTTTAAAAAATAAAACTTTCATATATGTTATATTCGGTACGTAAGTAGAAAAAATATTTTTCTAAAAAAATGTGTATATATCTAACAAAAACCAAAAAAAAATTGAAAATGGAGAATTAGATAGGGTGGAGTAGAATTATTTTTTTTAAAATAAAAATAATATCTAAAAACATTTTGTGAAGGAGTGGGTGGTTTGGAGGGGTGGGGATGGATTGTCAGGGGGTACAGGGAAGTAGGTGATGGAGTTGGTAAAGAAAATGTTTTGAATTTTATTTTTAAAATCAATTTCTTATATTGGGGATAGTGATACTTCGATTTTTATTTTTTATCTAATACTAATACTTTATTTAATTTTTACCAAGATAGAATGATTTATTCATGTAGAATGCCACGTGACAAAATATTTTTAAATAAAAAAGAGACTACATTACACATACTACTAATATGTGTTTTGTAATTCACACTCTTAATAGTTTAATTGTGGAACTCAAAAAATGAAACAATGATATATTTTTTTGACAGTTCACTTTTTAATTTTTATTTATAGAAGTGTCATGTGATGTTTGTGTACTTTGTGTATTATTTTAACTCCTTACTTCCATTTTAGTGGAAGTACATTGGTTTATAAAGTTTTGCCATTATAATTGGTGGCATGCCCACATGATAATATATTTACAAAAACAGTAGCCAAAAGAGAAATTGGCAATTGAATTTAAAAAAACAATTTCGTTTTATGGAGAAATTAGCTGAACTGATTCTCATCCCTTCTCCGGCAATGGGCCATGTTGCTCAGATGTTGGAGTTAGCCAAGCTTTTCATCACTCGAAATCATCAGGTCTCAATCACTGTACTCATTATGAAACTCCCTGATTACATCGACGCTGTAAGTGGCCCTTTTGTTGATTCTGTAATAGATTCATCATCCTCTGAACGTCTTCGATTCTTTGAATTACCACCTGTTGATCCAACCCCAGAATGGAGCTCTAAAACTCGAGGACACTTTGTTAACAGATTAGTACAAACTCAAAAATCTCAAATCAGGGAATTCTTGATAAGTCAACGCGGTGGTGTTAAACTTGTTGGATTTGTTGTAGACATGTTATGCACTCCATTGATGGATGTAGCTGACGAGTTTGGGATCCCGAGCTATGTGTTTTTCACTTCCCCAGCTGCTTTTCTTGGATTGATGCTTCATTTTCAGTTTCTTGAAGATGAATGTAATGAGGATGTTAAAAACTGTGATGGTAGTACTACTCTGTTATCGTTTCCCAGTTACGCGTACCCTGTTCCTCCCAACATATTGCCAATGGTTCTAGTCGATAGAGACACATGGTTAGGGAGATTTATTGATTTCGCTCGTGGATACAGAAAAGCCAAAGGAATTATCATTAACACTTTTGCTGAACTAGAAATCTACGCCTTGGATGCTTACAATAACAATAACATATCAAGATCTGAACAAGGTCCCCTACCATCCATCTATCCAATTGGTCCAATTTTAAACCAATCGAAATCACAGTCGGAGTCAGAGGAGGCAGAAATAACAAATTGGCTGGACGAACAGCCACCGAATTCGGTGGTGCTACTCTGTTTTGGGAGCCAGGGGAGCTTACCAACGGATCAAGTGAAACAGATCGCTATAGCTCTAGATAACATTGGCTGCCGGTTCTTATGGTCTTTACGTAGTCCACCACAGAGCAACAATGCTCAATTCCCCGGAGAATACACGAGCTATTCGGAAATCTTGCCTGAAGGATTCCTAAACAGAACAGAGAAAAAAGGGAAAGTGGTAGGATGGGTTCCACAATTGAAAGTGCTGTCTCATGAAGCAATCGGGGGATTTGTATCACACTGTGGATGGAATTCGGTACTAGAAAGCTTATGGTATGGGGTGCCTATAGCGACATGGCCATTGCACTCAGAACAGCAGGTAAACGCGTTTCAATTAGTGAAAGAAATAGGAGTAGCAGTGGAGATTACTTTGGATTACTGCGAGAGGAATAAAGATCAGCCTATAGTAACAGCAAAAGCCATCGAAAATGGGATAAGTAAATTGATGGAAACTAACTCCGCGGTAAAACATGAAGCAAAGATAATGAAAGAGAAGAGCAGGGCCAGCGTAACGGAAGGTGGTTCATCATACTTGGCCTTTAGCAAACTTATCAATGAACTACTCAAGAATGCAGCTGTATAACTATTGGGGTATTCATAAACCTATCCAATACACTCTTCTTTGTTAATCAAATCTTCTTATGCTTGGTTCGAGTTCTGGATCTGGAGAAAATTTTATTGGGAGCGCCACCCCCGAATGAGTCCTGTAGTACGCAATTCAGATTTAGTTGGGGCTCCAATATGGACTTCGCACACCAAATGGGAACCAAAAAAAAAAATCTTGTTATGCTTTGTTTTTCTAATAAAAGTTGTGGGTGGTGGGGGAATATTTGAAAGATGAAGACTCTCATATTAAATTCGAAGTGCCAGACGTTTGTTAGAGTGCATTATTATAAAAATAATGCATACATTTATTTTGTGTAATATTAATATCTTGTTTCATGTATTTAAATTCCAACGTCTAAGCAACATGGTCTATTGCCTGAAGCAGAGGCAAATTCAAGATTTCAAAAAAATGGGTGCACCATTGTCAGGAGCGGCTATGCCCCTTTAAGAAAAAGGCAACCATTTTAGGCTCCCAAATTTGAGGGCCTCATTTATTTTAGCAATAATAGATTATAGGTTTTTCATAAGAAAACTATTAAATACGATTTTTGGGAAAAAATAATATTAAAGAAAAAAATTATTAGAAGTTTGATATATCTTAGTACTATATCACAAGAGAAATTACATGCATTGATTATATGAATTATTGATTGAAAAAAATTTATTAAAAGAAACCATTTATAAGAAAAATATATGCAATTTTGCATCTCAAGAAATTTAAAAAGTACACTTTATAAAAAGAAAATGATTTTTTTTCAAAAAAATAATAAAAAATGGTGCTTTTAAATTAATTTCTAAAAAGAGGTCCTCTCTAGGAATTGAACCCTCAACCTCACCATCCAAAACAAACTCTTGAACCAATGACCCATCCAGTCATTTGTGATCATGGGTTCCCTTATTTACTATTTACAATATTTTAAGAATTATACAAATAATATATCGAGTTTTGTCGGATGACCATCGATTTCGGTGATCCATTTTTTACACTTAAATTCGCCTCTGGCCTGAAGGGATTCAGTTCTGCTAATTTCTCCATATAAGTTGTCACCATTTTAGGTTTCACATTTTTCTTAAGAAACTAGGTAAGTTTATCGTTGCATCCTTATTTAGAATTAGAAAACACATAAAAAACTCCTGAACTTTGCAGCAAAACTTACTTGAGCATTTTATCTATACGGGCGTTTATTTACCCCCTAATCTTATTTGAAGTGAATAAATATCATAAAATATCTATTTTTAATCCACAAAATATTAGTAAGACAGTCTATGACTATTTCATCCTCTTCTTCTTGATTACAATCCTTAAAATGAAACAAAATTCTATTTTCTTTCCTCAATATGTGTAAAGCATATTAGTTTGGTAAGTGTCATGTGCAATTATTTTATGTATTAATTTGCGTCGAAATTAATTTAGAATTTTTTTTTAATGTAACAAAAAACCAAATCTGAGCATGATTCAGTTTGGGATAAGACACAAGTACTCCTAGATTATGACCGAAATTCAGAGACATACCTAAACTTAATTAGGGTCATATTATCCCCCTAAACTAATTTAAAATGGAATAAATACACCACAAACGCTGACATGGCATAGAGAGTGTGCACACTCTCTTGAAGGCAAGTAATGAGTGCACTAATTGGACACATGTCATTTTTTGATTGGTAACTTTATAATTAGTTAGTACACTTATAAATTGATATTAAAACTTATATATATTTAATTATTTTTATTTATTTCTTTGTAAAATATTTATTTTAATTGCTTTTCACTTTAAACTTTCTTTAATTAATTTATTATTTATTCACTTGTTATTAATTAAAAAAAAATATGTGTATATTTTTTTAAAATAATTTAAAAGTATCCTTTAATTTTAACGTTTTAATTTTTATTTATGTTTTATTTGATTTTCTTCACTTATTTTGATATCTGTTCAAAATTAACTTATTTTATATACAAGACATTTGGAATTAAATTAAAATCAAATCAAAACGAAAGACAAAGAAAATAAAATCAATAGATAAATAAATAAAAGAGAAAAAACAATGAATGTAGGTAAATAAATAAATTATACAAGGTAAAAAATGTGTATTAACTTAATTTAAATACAAAATAAAGAAAATAAGAATATTTTTCAAATAAAATATTAAAAAATAATTAAGATTTTTTTAAAAAAAAAAACATAATTAAGAACGTGGTGGGTGAGTGTGTACAAAAACAACTAACTTGGGTAGTTGAAGGTGCCACGTCAACACAAAAGGTGCACAAAAATACTAAAAAAATGAGTTGGGGGGGGGGTAATAAGGCCTTAGTTAAATTTAGGTGTGTCTCTGAGATTTCGGTCATAGTCTAGGGGGTACTTATGTCTTATCCCATTTAGTTTTTAATATAATTGAATACTATTCTAAAATGAAATAAAATTCTATTTTTCTTTCCTCAATATCTATAAACACAATAGTCTGGTAGGTGTCTTGTGTAATTATTTTATGTACAAATTTGCCTTGAAACTAATTTAGAAATATTTTTAATGTAAAAAAACACTAAAATTTGAGCTTGATTTGATTTTTAATATAATTGAAATCACTATAAAATTTCTACTAAATATAGTTTCTTCCAAAATTGGAAAAAAATATAATGTGCTTTTATAAGCACTACAACGATAATAATCATACACATATCTTCATTTAATATTCAAAAAGTATTTGAATTTTATTAATCATTAAATTAATTTGTATTGTATTATTTAAATATTTTTAAAATTAATATTTCAAATTTTTTGGCCAATAATTCAATTTTTCACTTGTTTCAATATTTATCTTTTTACATTCATAAATTAAAATATACAGATTTTCAATCTTTCTTTAAAAAAATATTTGTTAATACTCTATGGCCATTTTTTATTGATAATACTTACTTAGATCTATATCAATTAAATTATTTTCCTAAAAAGAAAAGTTTGACTCAAAAGATTTGTTCAACATAAGACTAGAGTCATTACTATATTAATCTCAAGATGATGGAATCTAAATTGATATCAAATCTGCCTTCATTTATTTTTATGCCAAAATAGTACCCATGACAACTAAGTATTCTCTAATACAAATTATTTAAAAAATTATTTGTACCCTATAAATAGGAGGCAGTTCTTAGCAAAGAAACACACAACAACAATAAGAATAATAAATCTATTTCATCCCCCATATCCTAATAAACACATTTCTCCTCCTCTTCCTCATTTTTAACCATGGTTAGAAAGAAAGTGAAGTTGGCTTTCATTGAAAATAACACTGAGAGGAGAGTCTCATATAGAAACCGTCAAAAAAAATTCTTAACCAAGGCTCGTGAACTCAACAGTACCCTTTGCGATGTTGAATTGGCTACCTTCATCAATAGCCCTTACCACAAAAAACCAGAGGTGTTTTCAAATCATGAAGCTACTACCAGCACCTTTACAAAGTTTGAGGATCTTCCAGAGATGGATAAATCAAAAAACATAACAACACAAGAAAAACAAATCATGAAAAGGATCAACAAAATTGAGAATGAACTTGAGAAGGTAAGGAAGGAAAACAAGAAAATGGAGTTTACAAACCAGATGTATGGATTGTTGAATGGTGAAGAGATGCCCAACAGTATGCACCTAGAAGATCTCAGCGATCTCAATTATGTGATCATTAAAAGCCTCAAACAGATAAATGACGCAATCAAAGCAAAAACTCATGAAGAGGGTTCTACATTGAATGCTCCTCAAACTATTGTTGCACCTATGGATTCTGGTGTGACCAGCTTTGACATGTCATGGGATCCTCTTTTGGCCCCAGTTGATGCTCCAGTACTATCCGAGATTCCTCTTTTGGTTACATTTACTGTACCTAGTGGGACCAACTTCGAGAGGCCAAGGGCTCCTCTTAATTTGGTTCCTGTAACATCCAAGTTCTCAACAAGCTTTTAAGGAAACCCTTGTAACCTAAGGAGACTGGAAGTAGGCACCACATCGGTGTTCTGAACCAGTATAAAAACTCTTTGAGTCTTTTACTTACTACATTTATGCTTACCATATGCTGTTATACTAATCTGCAGGTGAGTCGACTGTCCCACACAGGAAGTCGACTAAAGAATTTTAGTCCCCCGCCCCCCCGCCGCTTAACTTTCAAAGAGGAAGTTCAAAGTAAGGAAAACCTAGCTTCGTATCCATTCCGCGTCGTAGAGAGGGGTTTAATTATTTACCACGTTAGATGTCAAGACAGAAAACTCTGTATCCTCTCCGTGGCTTTGGTTATAATATAATTTTTTAAAAATAAAATTCAAACAATTAGGTGGTGGTGAACATCAATATGAAAATTAAATAGCCATCCTGCTGGGAGTAATATTGAGTGAGATCACTCTACCCAAACTGAAAAAGAGACAACTTATAGCTTTAATTTTCCTTATCCTATATTTGATTAATTAATCCGCACGACAAATATCGAACATGAATTACACGGTACTAATAATTTTCCAAATATGAAAAATGCTTATTTTGATATAATAAAGAGTAAAATGGTCAAATGCCCCCTCAATCTATATTCGGATTTTTAACTACACACTTAAACTTTACGGGAGTTCTATCATCCCTCTGAACTGTTTAAAAATGAAATAATTATACCCGTAAAAAGTTATAACCAGATCTATGGTGGCATGTGAGTTTCACGCTTTGACACTTCATTTATTTATTTATTTTTGGGAAAATGCATAAATACCCCCCCAGCCTATGCCCAAAATCCCTGAGACACACCTAACCTTTACTAAGGTCCTATTACCCCCCTGAACTTATTTTTT